GGGGCTGGTGCGAAGCCGCCGGGGGCTTCTCCGAGCGAGGCCTGTGGGCCTCCCCGCCGCCCTGAGCTGCGTGTGCTGCTCCCCAGTTGCTTCTCGGTTATTGCCCCTTTCCAAAATACACGCGTATAGAAACCCATGCGCTTTAACGCAGCACCCTCTAGGACAGGAACAACACTTTTGTGTTAAGCTAGCTCTCCTTTTGTGGCCCGAGGTGCAGTTATTCTAAAGGCGGTAGGCTCTTATCCTCTGGTGAGGTAAAACGTAGCTTGTTATTTATAGCGGTGTTGTAGCTGCTCTGGAATTCAGGAGTATTGCTCATTTTTTTCCTGGCCTGGCTGTGGGGCGTGGATGCAACAGAGAAGTCCGAGGGACAGGCTGAAGGAAGCTTTAACAAATGTTGGGCCAGTATATTAGCAATTTTTTTTCTACCAAGCTTATTTAGTTCTATCGACTTTATTTATTGACTGTATTTCCACTATCGAAAGTATGACGAGACAGTTGCAAGTGAGGAAAAGCTTATGTCCGAGGAGAGAGGGGCTGTGCTGCGGAGTAGCAGTTTTAACAAAGCTGAAAGACTTATTTTGAAACAGAACGCCTTGCCCTTTTGTAGCAATACTGCATTTTTGGTTTGCCTCCAACAGTTCTCTGACACAGGCAGCAAAAAAGAACATGTCAAAATCACAAGCGAGTCCAAACCAGGGTTCCTGGAGAGGCTCAGCGAAACTTCTGGGGGCATGTTGATGGGACTTGTGACATTTCTTCTGTCTTTCTACCTTCTTTTTACCAATGAGGTAAGTGAAACACTGTTAATGTTTACGTTACTTTATAACATCGCAGCTGACGTGACATTCAACTAGTTTTGTATTTACAGGCTTACTATAATGATTGTGTTCAAACCTTATTACTTCACCCAGGAGAAAAAAATAATGTGTTTGGAGAGTCTGTTGCTTGTACTGGGGATATAATGGAAGAATGGGGATCTCGGAGCCACAGATAGAGATTTTTCTATAGAGTGTGGTGGAGACGGTGGCTGTCTACAGTAAGAGAGATAAGATTCAAAAGCTTTGAGGGGAAACAGGCTATAGGCAGTATTATTGGAAGAGGCTGGTATGAGCAGCAGCTTACATAGAATATATTTCTGTGTGCTAGTGCTCAGTCTCAAAAACTAAAATTAGAGGGGAAAAAAAAACAAAACAATATTATTTACTCCAAGCAAGTAACCAGCCACATTACATTCTCTGTTTCTTGGAATAATGTAGGATCTTCATTTCCAGTATCATTATAGTTGTGTTGAAGGAATTAATACTCCACCTTGCAAAGCTGAGCATGTTAATTATTCTTGGTGTTATTTTTTGTCTTGGTTTTAGATTGAAAAATAGTTAAAGTATGCAAGTTAATCTTAAGACATGACCCTTGCAAACGCATGCTTTATATTTTCCGTCCTGAGAACTTCCACTGCAGTCAATGGAAGTCCTGGTGGTGGTAGAGATGAGCTTGATATAAGTGTTTGAAGGATCACAGCTGTTGGGGGGGTGTCTCAGAGTGTGGATATTTGGCAGTTTTGGAGGGCAGGAGCAAAATTCTGTGAATTTTCACCTATGACTTTCTTCCATACTTCTGCAAGAGAAGAAAGAACTACTCCAAAGTTAAGTGATTTTGCAGGGAAAAGCACACTGTAACATGATGGCAAGGCAAGGAGAACTTCTGCCCCAGTAGTCAAACGACTGAGAAGACGACTCCTAACTGGTGTAATCATTGCGCTTACTCGAGAATAATGAACAAGGCAAAAGGTGAAGAGCAATGATTTTAGAGCCTTGTGGGAATGGTCTGTGTTTGGGTTAGTAGCTTAGATGACTTCAATGGGCCTGCTGCACGGATAAGAAGTACTGCCCCAAACTTCTTCAGACACAAAGAAAGAGAAGGTTAAGAATTACAAAAGCATCTCAGGAAAACTCCTTGCGGCTAAATGTACAAGCCCTCTGTAGGGTCTGCAGATTACTTGTATGCTAGCATTTTTCACAAAATGATGCTGTACAATTGATCTTCCACAACTTGATTTTGTTTTTCTTGACTGCAGGGACGAGCTTTGAGGACAGCCAAATCTCTTGATGAGGGACTTTCTCTTGTGGTCCCTCTTGATAGTATCCACGCTGTCTCTCAACAGAATGAGGGAAGACTAGTGCACTTAGCTGGTGCTCTGAGCACGTCAAAGGTAAATAAAACTAGCATCTTGAAGACAAGAGAGCTTCAAGGGAAGGAGAAGTCTTTACTGCTAATTGAAGCTATGTATATTTGATATCCAGGGAGAAGATATGTAGCTTCTCTCCTCCCCTGTAAGCATGGTCTGCTACCATCTAAGGTTCCTGGCCAAAAAGCAGAGAGACAGCCCTGCCCTCCCCATTCCCAAGTAACATGTACTTCTAGCTGTGTTTACCCTCCCACTGCCTTTGGATCGTTTCAGCTCCTCTGTTGCATAAGGAACCTGTTGTGCGTTCATGACGCTAGAACGTCTTTGGGAACTTGCATTACAGAGGCTCTGCAAGTTCTCTTTTTTCAGTGATGGTGACGTTGTCCGTGGTCAGCCTGTGTTGCAGGAAGCAGCACATCATGGTAACATCCACCAAAATAAAATTTCCTCCAATTTAAACACTTAAGCCTGCGTACCGTGAGCCAGCATTATTCTTAGCTGTGGCAATGATTTGTGATGGTGGATTCTTTAGGTTGGATTTATCAGTGGTATAAACAGATACTCCCTCCTGTCCTTCATGACTTTTGTACTGTATACAACTATGTATTAACTATGTGAAGTGAGGTATGTAAATGGGTTCCCTGAGGTTTCATGATTTATGCCAGTGAGATGGTTGATCTCTCATCCCTGGGATGGAGGTACTGCCCCATATGGTTTTTAAGATATTTTAATTCACTCGTGAAGGTGTTAAAGATTCTTGAATAAAAGAGACTGTGTGATAGCAGGTCAGCACTTTGTTGCACCTGATGCATCATTTCACCCTTTTGGTCAAAAATTGAAGGAATTTACTCCATATTTTGTTTTATGGGGCTTTCAGGTGCTTGTGCACTCTCGCGCTCTCTTGTTTGAACGCGCTATTGTCTTCCAAATCATGTTGTTATGAGAAAGTTTTCTAGGACAAACCAACAAATAACTACCTTCGCTAGAATGAAAATACAATGTTTGAGTTTACCTGAAGTACAGCATAAATACTGATTTGTATTTTCTTTAAATTTTAAACAGCCTTTGTTTGATCCCAGCTATGGGCTCTCCATCCATGCTGTCAAACTTAAGCGTAATGTGGAAATGTACCAGTGGGTAGAATATGAAGATTCCAAGTAAGTGAAAGAAGTCTTTAAAAATTACTTAGAAAGGTGTTGTATTAACAGGATCCCATCACAGCTGTATTCTTTCTTTCTTCTCTCCCTTCTTCCCTCCCTCCACCCCACCTCCCTTCAAAAAAAAAAAAAAAAGAAAAAAAAAAAAATCCAAGACTTTACAGCAGGAGAGTTCTAGAGCTCTTGGGGCTTTTTAGAGTTGCTTTTATTTCCCTGCAGGTGTCAGGTCTTATAGATGGTTCATGTTGTAGAATTTGCATCTGATAAAAATATGGGTAACTTCCAAGGCCTTTTATAAAATATTTCCACTTCCTGACCTTGTATAGCTTCTTAGGGGGCTTCTCAGCCTCCATGCTACGGCTGTGGCTTTTTCTTTTCATTATTGTTGTCCTGTGCTGTTCCCAGAGCCCATCAGTTATTTTCTGTTATGTATGTTGTCAACAGAATTCAAAGATCTTTAACAGTTTATGGAAAAACAGTAGAAAACACTGCATCCGTCATTCCCAAAGGCCCAATTGATTTCTATCCTTTCTAATATTCTTAAAGCTCTTAAGCTTAAAGATTAATGTTCTTTCTGCCCATCAGGAATTCCCTTACTCCACTCCCATAATACACCTTGCCTGATGGTTCATTAGCAGAATCAAATCCCTAAATACTTTGTCCTGATTTTCTTTTTTTTAAACTTTTTATTTTAATTTATTTTTTTTAAACTAAAACTTCACAGTCCCTCCCCCTGCCCTTTTTTCCCCCCCTCCCTATCTTCCCTATCTGGTAAGCCCTTCCTGCTGCCATTCTTGAAAAGTGGAGAATGCATCCTCAAGCCAATTTTTTCTCTGACCTCAAAGAGAAAATGTAAAAAGGTTTTTGCTGAATCAGGAACCCCATCATATGCCTAGGCTCTCTTCCTTTCCCCCACGCTGGTAATGACGACTTTGTATTTTACAAATTCTCCCAAAAGTGGCTTTTGTTAAGTAAGTGGATCTAATGGTTGATGAAGTGTGGGCTAGATGAGCAGACAGTGAGATGGACTGAAAACTGGCTGAACGGCAGAGCTCAGAGGATTGTGATCAGTGGCACAGTCTAGTTAGAGGCTGGTATCTAGCAGTGTACCCCAGGGGTCAATACTGGGTCCAGTTCTGGTCAACTTAGTCATCAGTGAGCTGGATGATGGGACAGAGTGCAGCCTCAGCAAGCTTGATGCAAAACTGGGAAGAGTGGCTGATATAGGTTAGATTATAACAAGTAATCTTGCAGTCTTGGTACCTTTCCAGGGTGTACCTGGAGGTATTAGCTACTCCACTGATAGATGCAGCAGAAAAGAAAAAAGCTTCCTATTTATTAATAATAAATAATTTCACTGACAGTAACTACCTAAAAGCTATTGCTTGTTATGTATGTCTGACTCCACAGAACTCTCCTTCTAAATGGCTTTTGTGTCATACAGGAAAAAAATTCTTCAGAGGTTGTTATGGTGTGAAAAATAACTTCTCAGTTTCAAGATGCTTATGGTGCAGCATCTGGAAAAGACTTGTTGGTTTAGGTCAGCTTGTCTCGCTACCATTAACACTGATTGTTCCACCTCAAGCTAGTCAACCTCTCCTCGTTGGTGACATGGGAACAAAAGGGTCGTGGCCATTTAGCATTTGTGTATAATGTTTTCCCTGCCCACAGAAAGTCTCTTCAGAACAGGTAGTTCAGAGAAAAGTTGGTTTCTTGTAAGGATAAGCTTGTATTGCCAGGGAACAATCTGTACATTTCATTTGTGTGGTGTATTCTGGCATAACCAGTTGCGTGCATGCCCTGTTTCAGTTCTCACCACACCCCTTTTTTTCTGCAGGGAATATGAAGAGAATGGTGAAATTAAGAAAGAGACAAAATATACATACAGTAAGTTGATCAACAAAAAGTATTACTTTATAACTCTAACTTTGGACTTGTATTTTGATTTGTGTTTTAAACCCTGTATTTTCTCACTGTGAAAGAAAGGAAAGGAGTTTGAAGAAACAAGAAAATGTTCTGTTTGCTAAGCAAATGTCAGAACCTCCCTTTCTAGAGATAATCGAAGTGAAAGGATATCTGTGTGCTGTTTGCGAGTAACTACTACAGAGCATCTAACTCTTACCTTAGAAATCCTAGAAGTTCAGAGCAGCATCCAGGGATAAGATGCTCCAGAGACAGGTCCTGTGAAGTCCTCAGTGGCAGGAGGTGGGCAGAGCTGGGAGCACAATGTGTCTCCTGAGATTCCTCTTTAGAAGTGGTGTAGCTGGGTACGTAACAGGCGCGAGCTGAAGAGAATAGACAGGGAAGAACAGCGTAGCCCCAGCCTGTAAGGCAGTATGTTGAGAGTCTGTTTAGGTGTTACCAGCTAATGAAAACCACCAGCACCTTCTGCTGTGCATTGTGGCTTTTGCCAAATACTTTTTTGGAAGGAGCAGAACGGAGAGGATTATTCTAATCTACCCAGTGGCCTAAAAATACTCTGAGTCATCGTATCTCTAGAGATTAGTCTCTGCCTCGTTTATCCCCAATTAAAGCACATGGATATGTAACGTGAGTGTGCAGCAATTTTGGACCAGCTCAGTGAAACGTGGGACTGTGCAGCATGGAGATACATAAGGATCAGAACTAGTGGGTGTGAGCTATGGAAAAAAACGCTTTACAATTGTAGGGAACAAAAAAAAAAAGCCATTTTAAAAAAAAAAAAGCTCTCCTCTCAAGACTGATCTATTTTGTCCAATAATAGACAGTATGTTACCGGAATATCCCTTACAATAATCCCTGCTCCACTGTTTAACCAGATTCCCCTTATTTCTTCTCTGTACCTTCATGGAAGCATATAGAGCTAAATTTAATATGGGAACTGCTCAAAAAAGGGATCCTAGTTTTTTAGCTGTAAGAAATCTACTGGAACCTGTCTTGGGGATGTTGAGAGGCTGCTTTGGCCTGAATGAAAGAGGTATTATAAATTTTTGCCAGTGGAATGTACAGGTACTGTCTCTATCTGCTGCTTTACTGCACTGAATCTGCTAGTTCTGGCAGAGCTCAAGTGCTTTCCTTGTAGAACCAGATCACTCCCAAAGAGGGGAGCCAGAAATCAAAGCCTGATCAGGGAAATGCCACTGAGCATAGGCCACAATTTTATCCTTAAAGCCTTTTTTTCTAAATCCTTCTGTTCCTTATGTTAAAAGGCTAGATTTAAGTGTAATATTACAGACTATCACACGTATACCTTGATGTGAAAAGTATTACTGCAAGTGCAACTTGGAACTAATTCATTGATAGAGAAGGGCCTTTTTTCAGTACTTAAGATCTTAGTGGCAACTTTTCCTGACTTGTCTTCAATCTTCATCTCATTTTCTTCAGATACTGAATGGAAATCAGAAGTTGTGAACAGCAGAAATTTTGATCGAGAAATTGGACATAAAAACCCTAGGTAATTTGCCCCATAGGTAGTCCCTCTAGATTCTCTCAGTATATCTGATCAAAGATGACTGCTAAGTGACTAATCCTCATGACGCAGCAAGGCAGATGAAAGCTGCCAAACTTCTTAAGTTGGGAAAACTTAGACATGGAGGGATTAGATAACAGTTGAAAGCTGCCTGGGGGAACCAGAATTAACTTACCCATTGGTTATGGTTGGATGTCAGGCTGTTATCGTGTTACCTCCGGACCATGCGTTCTCCATGTAGGAGAATTCAGGTGGGCTCTTTTCTCACTTTTATTGTTTGTTAATGCAGTCCATTAGTAATTTTCTTTTCTATTACAAATACAAAGTTGGAATAGTAGGCATCCCATGTGCTTGTCATGCTGCTTGCACTCTGCTCTTCTAAGCTAGCATGTGTGAGCTCACAGGCTTGTTTGTGGCAATCACCCACATATAATTTGTTTCTTATTTCTCTCATCTGCAGCATTTTGATTACGCTACCATATGCCAGTTTTAATGCCAAGCCTTAGCTTTGTATGTCATTCTCACAGCACTTGCTTGGTTTCTTGGGGTGCAGGATGCCAGGTGTGATGTAATGTGATGATGCAAGTAAAAAATACAGCTAGAGAGGTAGGAGAATTGGAACTTAAACAAAATTTTGAACTTTGCAAAATCTCCAGAACTCTGTTTTGGTGGTCTGTGCTTTCTGAATAAACGATTCTTTAATTGGAAGTACCACCTTGGAAGGGAAAGTTAAGACCTATATGTTTCTAACTACATGTCCAACTCACTTAGACCTGGTTAGACAAGAGGTCCCCCCTGTGTATGCAGACATGCTGATCTCTCCAAATCATGCTTTTTGTTAATGATAATGGATTTTAAATGTGCATTACATGTTTTTCTTCCATCCATCTTACCGGTTTATGCAACTTAAGACGTTTGTGAGAATACAACTTATCCATGTTATTTACTGCCAAGGATAATCCAATAGCACTAATTATGCGAATGAAGCTAAGTCCATGAGTAAAGGATTCCAGAACTGAGAATTTAGATATTTAATTTGGCTGTGATCTAGAAGTACCTTTATGCAGAGAAAGTTTGAGCTAGGTTTCTAACTTAGTGGATAAGATACAGTGGTTGACGGCTGAAGCTAAATAAACTCAGGCTAGAAATGAAGTGCATTTATGAGTGTAGTTAAGCATTGCAGGAATTCATCAGGGAATGTGATTAATTCATTATCACGCAAAACCTTTATAACACCACTGAACAATTTGCTAAGAGTTGATCTTGATTTCAGCCTGCTGCAGGCTTAGTACAGAAAGAGCTTGTGAAATCCCATGCCCTGCTTGCATGGAATGTCAGGCCAGGGGATCACATGGTCATATCTTGCCTTAGCGTATCTTAGTGGCTCTGACACCATAATGTCTGGACACAGTTTCTCAGTGGATCTGTTTTCACATCAGGTCGGTCATCTAGCTCTTTGAGTTTTTCCTGATGCTTATGTGCCATATATTACATACTGCAAATCTGGAGTTTGCCCATAACTCTAGAACTGATCAGGGGCTGTTTCTGTTCCCCAGTGCCATGGCTGTGGAGTCTTTCACTGCTGTTTCTCCTAATGTCCAGGTTGGCGGCTTTGTCCTTTCTAAAGGTAAGGATTGCTTTGTACTGATGCTGTGTCTCCTTTTGCATCAGCAATAGACTCTGGCTCTTTCAACAATGACAGTCATTTCAAGTGATATTCGAGGAGCCAGCAAGCTGGCTATTCCAAGTTAGTTAGCCAGTCCTGAGCTTTGTTCTTTGTTCTGTTTAGGTCTTGTGGATAGAATTGATGACTTTAAGCAGCTGAGCTTGTCAAATCTTGAGGATCCGCATGCTGATGTTACCCGGGGAGGAGACTACTTTTACCACAGCGAGAACCCCAGGCGTCCAGAAGTAAGATGAGATGGATAAACCAAAGGAACAATTATTATTACGTGAGAAAGAAAGTTGGGGCAGGTCCCACTTCCACTATATTATGTAGAAATTGTAGCGCTGGGCACCACATAGGATGAGACCCTTAGTACAGTGCTTCAGCAAGTGATTCTCTTGCAAGAACCTTCTGATCCTGCTTGCATCTTCATCTTCTGTGTTCTTGAGTCTCTTCCTCTGCCATGCTTTTAAATGGAGACATGGGATGGTGCTGGGAGGTGGGTTCTACCTCTGCCTTGCTGTACTGAACTGAATACAGTGGAGCAGCTTGTCAGCTTGTGCTGCCTGCCCTCCTCTGCCAAAAGATAAAATGGCAAGGGATGAACGAAGGAGCTCTTTAGCATTAATGGGCTCCTGGAGCTAGATCAGAGGGAGTGTTGCAAAGCAGCATTTGAGCCTATCCTGTTCTCCTATCAACCTGGCCTGGAAAAAAATACAGCTTGGAAATCCTACTGGATATTCTCAGGCTTGACATAAATGTTCAGGAAAAGTGTGATCCAATAAATGGTGTTCCCATGCAGTTATCTTTCCTGGGGTTCTCCTTTGGAAAGAACTTTCTCTGTTGATTTCCAATATTCTTCTTGTTTGTAGGTGGGAGACCTTCGTGTCTCATTCTTCTATGCAGGTCTGAGTGGAGATCACCCCCATTTGGGCTCAGCTGATAAGGTAAGTCTTTAGCTTCTGCTGTATCTTGCGAACTCTGGTGCCAACTCAGTAACCAGTAAAATTCTGTTTCTTCCAAGGTGACTGTGGTTGCTCGCCAGCGAGGGGATCAGCTGATTGCATATCATACCAAGTCTGGAGATGTCCTGCAGATTCTCTACCCTGGAGAGCTCTCTGTGGAGGTGAGATACCAAACTATACCAGGGAAGGTTAGAATTGGAGATGGCAGCCCAGAAGCAGCAGTAGGGGAATAAGCTCTCGTTCTCCTTCGGGCCTCTTCTAGAGGAGGAGGGACCTGGTCTCAGCATTCCCTTTTCTTTCTCCTATGTCTAGGACAAGGCGTTATAGCCTGCATTTACCTTCTAGGTTTCTGCATGTTGTTAATGTGTTGTAGCAGAGTGCTGTGCTTCATCCACTAGCAGTACCTGATTTGGCTATGAGAGAGAGTCACTTCCTGCTTGTTCTGTCAGCTTAAAATGGGACTGTGGCTAAAGCAACTATATTTACACAAAAAAAAAAAAAAAAGAAAACCTTCCATTGCTGCTGAACATCCTTTGCTCTAAGGATTTTACCAGTGCTTCGCATTTTGCTTTTATTTGCTCTTTTGTAGTTTGCCTATATATGTATTTCATAAATATATACTTATTTATATGTGTGTGTGTATGTATATATGCACACACATATACTTGCTTTTCAAGAGGTTGTATTTAAAAATAATAAAAATCAGGCTTTAATTAACAAACCGTAGGAGCAATCTTCTTTTCCACCTCTCTCAACAGAGAGTTTGGGCCTGTTTGAAATGTTTATTGCTATTCTGGCTGAGCAGGAACCTTCAGGCAATGTGTTATGCATCAATAAATCCTGCATGTTCTGGCAATTTGATGATTCATTTACTCCTTTTAGTAGGTTGTTTTCCATTAAAGATTGTTTTATGCCCTGCTGCAAAAAAACCCAAATTACAAGAATTTACAGGAGCTCCCAAAAACAGCTAAAGAGGCTTTTGTTTTGAGTTGAAAGAG